TTCTTATTTTTGTTTGAGTTTTGGGTGAAATTGCGTTTGAAGTGAATGACTAGTCAAGATGAGAAGCTGATTTAAGACTGTGTTTGTAAAATGCAGTGCAACAGTGTTTGGAGTCTCCACAGAGTCAATGCAGCTATCTTATGATACCAGAGGGAACATTGTGCCAACGATACTCTTGATGATGCAGAGTCACTTGTACAATAGAGGAGGCTTGCGTGTGCGTGGTTAACGTGTATTGTTTGAAACAATTTGCATTTGGTGTAAATAAGTATTCACTGGTTTTATTTGTTTGTCATATTTATCAGGTAGAAGGAATATTCAGGATAAATGGTGAGAATGGTCAAGAAGAGTACATAAGAGAAGAGTTGAATAAAGGTGTTATACCTGATAACATCGATGTCCATTGCTTAGCAAGTCTCATTAAGGTAAACAAAACCATTAAACTCCACAAATATGTCTTCATCGTCTCTTTTCCCTTACTTGTGTTTTCTCTCCTCTTAGGCTTGGTTTAGGGAACTTCCAAGTGGTGTGTTGGATTCACTCTCAGCGGAGCACAGATGGTGAAGATGAGTGGATTCACTCTCAGCGGAGCAAGTAATGGAGTCAGAGAGTGAAGATGAGTGTGTTGATCTTGTAAAGCTTCTTCCTTCAACAGAGGCTTCTCTGTTAGATTGGGCGATCAATCTAATGGCTGATGTTGTCGAGATGGAACATGTTAACAAGATGAATGCTCGCAACATCGCTATGGTTTTCGCTCCTAACATGACTCAGGTTCGTTTCTGTTGATGCAGCTTTATGTTTGTCAGATGAAATCAGTTGTTAATCAATGTTTTGTGATCTAAATTTGCAGATGTTGGATCCATTGACGGCTCTAATGTATGCTGTGAAAGTCATGAACTTTCTCAAGACACTTATTGAGAAGACGCTTAAAGATCGGAAAGAGTCACGAGAGAAGCTGATTCCGGCTTCAAATTCCGGTCACCGGGACCATAATGGTGATCAGAGTAGTAGTAGACAGCTGTTGCATCTCATGAAAGCTAACAAGGAGGAAGCTTTAGATAGCTCTGAGGCGGAAATGAGAGACAAAGAAGACTACTCTGCAGAAGAAGAAGAGGAAGAAGAGTCTGCAGGATATAGAGAACTTGTTGGCATAAAGAAGAAGAGTCTGGTTAAAAGCTGTAACAATGGAGGAGGTTTTGGACAGAAACAGAGTGGTTGGAATGAGCATAGGAAGAAGACCAAGGTTTCGAATGCGAGCAGTATTGTGGGACGAGTGAATTACAGAGTTGAGCTGTTCGATGCTTGGCGATGAAAAAATATTTCATTTTCTTGATGTTTTTGATCCAACTTTTGGATTTTCTTGCTTTGGGTTTTGTTGGATAAATGCTTCTCATCATGGTTGCTTGTGTGTATCAAGAAATGCTACGTTTCTGCATATAATGTCAAAGATAAAGTTTCTGTTTCTCTTCCTTTGGGTTTATATCTTCAAACTTGAAAGCAGAATCTGCATCTTTTGGTTTTCAGGTGCCTTTGACTATAAATTTACCATTTTATTAACAAAAGGATATTAAAATTAAACAAAACACAAACATATTACAATCACACTTTACTTTCCAATTAGCACATCATCATTACATGATTCTTTGGATTTTTTTTAACGGAAAAGAGAAACAATAATAGTACTAAGTACAAAGCAATTTACACCACAAAAGGTGATTATTTCTTGGTCAACGAAATGACAAGAGTGACACTCGTTTTGTTTCTGCAGCTCGCGTGCTTGGTCACATGGTGTGCATACTTGTCAAACAAGGCATCGATAATGTCTTCTCCAAAGTGAGCAACGAGCATCGGTTCACTAACCGCTCTTATACAATTGGCTTCATTGTATCCAGCTTCTTCTTCGTCGTAGTCGTCGCGAGTACTATGGCCAAGATCGAATCCATGTGTTTCAAAGTCATTGATTTCAAAAGAACCCTCGTTTCTGATCACTTCCTCGAGTTCTTGTTCGTTCGGATCATAAAACGGCATGTTGAATGATTCCATCTTTGATTCACTCACTAGTCCCTGTATATATATATTTAAAGATTGACTTGAGTTCCACGGCCAAATCAATAAAACAATTCTTGTGGTAACAAATGTTAATTACATAAACGTTATAAAAAATTAATGTGTATGATATATATACCTCGAAGACAAGGTCACGGAGAGATTTTGAAAGCAATGTCCAAAAATGGCAGCAATCTCTATACAAGGGATCATTACGAGTGTTTCTACCGATGAAGGTGAGAACCATACGTCCGTTAGAGACAACTTCTTCAGAACGTAACCTTAGAAACGTGGTGAAATCTCTTTGGAACTGATTCAAGTAAGCCTTGTATGCACTTTGAGGACTTGAGTTTGTTATGTACACATTTTCCTTATCGCTCTCGAGTTGTTCAGGAACCTTTAACCATAAACACACACATTTCGTCCGTCGTTTAAGTATCAAATAACTCAAATGTTTTTATATAACTAAAAGTTTAAAAGAAATTTTAGAAATACCTTAGAGAGCCAATGGAGGGCGTAAGAGGAATGTATGAAGTGGAGGCTATTGCGAGAGAAGAGCCTAGAGTAGAAGGAACCTGGAGCTCCATAGACGAAACACGATGTTTTGTTTGTGATCATGAGCTCCTTGTTGAAGAAAGGTACGAACTTGAAGGTCGTGTTGAAGTCGTTTCCCGGGAGATCATTCAGACAACAATCGATTTCTGGTGGGTTTTGGTTGGATTGTTGGCACAACACATTGATGGTGTTGATGATCTCAGAGATAGCCAGAAATGAGTTTTGTCCCGAGGAACAACCCAATTCAGCAACTTTGATGTACTTTGGAAAGTCTAAGTTCATCATCATTTCTTCTGTGTTTTTTACCAATACCGGTTTGGCCATTGATAAAACTCTTCTCTAAGAACCAGAAAAAAATACTAATTAAAAAATATTTTAAGACTATAATTCGTATTATGTAATTAGAGATGAAAATTGAAAATTACACCATATGTAATATCAAATCCACTTTCTATCCCTTCGATACAAGTTGTTAAAAAGAAATCCATTATTCTATGCGTGACATATAAACCTCACGTCAGACTGGACCCAGCTTCGTACGATAATGAACGACAACGATATAATATATGATTCATTCACGTTTAAAATGTGAGTTGTGTACATTTCTTTTTGTTTTATTAGTGAGCCCTTTGTGGAAAATCCTCTAGTTCTAGGAACTATCATTTTTTAACTTTATTTCTGTTTGACAAGAATCCGTCACTAACAGAACTTATACGTACGCCCTAAATACAACTACCTTTTTTTTTATAAAGAAACTAAATACAACTACCCTATTCGTACCCATAGTAAAGATTAGTCATTCTTTATTTGAAAAATATATATACTAAGAATCAGTATCAATTTAAACAGAAAAAATATATTTATAGTTTTATACTGATTACTAAGTTTTGGTATTTCTACTTCACGCATAATATATTTCGATTCATATAGAAAATAGAAACACGTTGTTATAGCAGGTATAGGTTCATTTGTTAGTATTTTGAACTTGAAAATCAAGTATATATATATAACGGTTTGAAATTTACAAATTTTGATTGAAAATGTTATTTCAATCACTGTATGATCAAATAAAACTAACTTAGTGTAAAGTGTAAACTAAAACGAAGAAAGGATATTATGAAGAACCTGAAGAAGAGAATTGGCGGAGTAGCTGTTGGCTCCATCACCACCACTCATACGTAAAGCTCTCACAAACGCATATTCATCATCACTCTTATCGTCATTAATATAGCTGCATCGCAACACACATATGTTTTAGCATGCATATACATACACATATATGGAATAATTAAATCAAAGAAAAATTAAGTATATGTGTTGTGATGATGAATTAAAGAGAAGAACCTCAAGGAAGGAGTGGTGTCGATAAATCTTGAATCCATTTTTTTGTATCGTACTTATCAATTAGTGATAGGATTAGAGGAGAATTATCAGAAGAGGTTGGTGTGTGGAGGATACAGCTCACACACTTGAATTTATAGAGAGATGGAACTTAATGAAGGTGTCACATCAGAAGGAAACAAAAATAAATACATGGATCACGCCAAGTGTACGAGTTGCTAGGTCGTTGCGCGTAAGATCAATAAACTAAATAACTAATGCCACTAAAAGATACTTACATTTTGACCCAAATAATTTAGTTTATAGTCTATAGAATATTGATTCTGAAACTATGATTTGTTATTGACTTGTGGTTAATTAACTCGGTTTACAATTGAAGTGCTTTCTCCTGTAGACAAGTTGAATTGTTAAGGATTTGATTATGAGGTTGTTATATTTATATATACCAAGACTCGAAACAATTCTTTTGAAACCTTTTTAATTTCAGAATATATAAAAAACAGTTATAAGTGAAATAAGAGTTCTGAAAAAGATATACAATCTGCTGAAATATATATAATATTACAAGTAATAGATGTATGTGCATGCATGTGCATGTGTTTCTACAACCAAACAACTTTGGACTTACGTACAAATTCTATAATCTCTCTTTGTCCTCGTTTTCGGGGTTGGTCTTACATATTTGAAGGAACTTGAAAATCGGTAGATTCAAGTAGTTGGAATTAATACCGGTTTTGGATTGTGTAAAGTTATTGACAAATTGTTGCAGAAATTAAGTTATTTTTTTGTGGTCGAAGTTTCGTCTACGGTATGATATGTGGTGGCGTGTAGTTTGATCCCTCCTAACTCCTAAGTTTGTAGTTTATGTTATTTGAGATAGAGGTAGGACCGATGGGGTGTCGTATATCTTTAACCCAATCGAAGGAAAGTATCGACGATAAGTAGGTAGTTTTCATATGATCATATCAATGACGATAAATCTTACTAACATTTTTTCTTTTGAATAAACTTGTAATCTGTTAGTAAGATTCTGCATAAGTATATCAATATTTGTAGAGGAACGGATACTCGTATGTATAACTCTAAATATAAGTGTCTTTGATTTTCATTCTCCACATATATATTAGCTTATAGTATTTGTTGTATTCCTTAACAATTAATTATCATTGGATCAAATCGGACCAAATAATAAACTGAAAACGGATATTACGAATTTTTTTTTTCTAAGATATTTAAAGTGTTCTAGATCTGGTAACTAAGGGGATATAAAAAGAAGAGTTAGAGACAAACAAGGAGAACAGCAAAAAAATGTTTTCAAGTTTCAACTAACGCGTCTATATTGTATGAGCCAAAAAAATGTGAAAAACTAAAACCACGATTTGTTGTTGGTGGTGATTAAATGTATTGGGTAATTAAAGACAAAAAGAGATAGTGAGAAATTAATACTATAGTATCCAAAACCCTCTCTCATGCAGTTTACGTGTATAATTATAAATCATTACATAATAAAATTTAGTACACTGAATAAGAACTTTGTGAACATTTAAATTGATAGTAGAATATGCAAGTTGATATGTGAGTTTCCTCAAGTAATTAAAGATTACAAAGAGAGAAAGAAGGTCATAACTGACAGTGACGAAGCTTCTTCTGCTAATCTGCAAAAAGTGTGAACAGACTCTGTGCTGACGTAGATTCCATTAATCAAACCCTGTGACATTATGGTAATACTTGAATTATCTAATCCAAAGTCCTTTTTAATCATTTAGTGGTCTTTGTTATACTACTCGGATTTTCTCTGACCAAAAAACGAATATTAGTGGTACGTAGTGCATGTATAATCTTACAATATTTGTTTGTTTGTTTGCCCAAATGTAAAGGCTTGTCCTTACACCATGTGATAGGGGTAAAACGAACGGATCCAGATATGATGGCATGCATGTGGAATACGAGTTTCCTAATATCGTTTCTTTTCGTACTAGACTATTTTCTGCCGGTCAAATTTATGGTACACCACGTTTTTACTCGTTATTAAATCGACAATCATGATCGATTAGTACATTCAAATCCTCATGTACACATCATATTAGTATTTGCAAATCAATTTTCGTGAATGGAGCCACCACGTTAACTCTCAGCCGCGGAATTATCGAGATGCTCTTAATGAAAATCTTTCAATTAAATCTTCGAATTTTTCTTTTTTATTAAAAACGAATTTGATTATTGACTTTTAATATTTTTAGATAAATATGTTAACTACCATATCCCCACCTTATTTTTGGAAGATATTATAAATTTTAGGAAGATAAATAATAAGTAAACCCTAAGATTCTTAATTGACCCTGTATTATATAAATAGATACGATCTTGGAA